CCCCCCCCCCCCCCCTTCCTCTGACTGCCAGAACTGACCGGGTACATCTAGGCCTGCCGGGAGTTTGTATTGGATCAGCCACGAACGGGAGAGTGAGCCCTGATCACAGACACTTCTCTAATCATGATAAGGGCTGGGCAATGCTCCGATTCGCACGTACATCCACACACCCACACATGAGATGTATACCACCACGAAATATCTAAGAATCCAAAAATGCGATTTGATTTGGAAAAAGAAAAGCCTCAAATTCTTAGTGTGCCCACCATGATGTAGGATTAACTGCGGAAACCTTCGGGATCTCGGCCAGATGGAGACACAGAATCTCATCACACACCCCGCGAACAACAAGAACAACAGCAACAAAAAAAAAAAGACACGGCAACGAAGCCAACGCCGAAAACATGCTGCTGGGAATGAGAAGAAGTTACCCCTCGTCTGACGCGGCTTCTGCGCGTGCGCGGGGTAAATGGACCTCTGCGTGCAGCACTAAGCTCGGTCGCTCTGTGTCGGGCGGCAGCGGAGGCATCACAACGCGCTACACGGGGTCTATTGGAACAATTGTCTGGGGGGGGAGAAAGGGAAACGTAGGGTTCGATGGGTTCTGACGGGATGACTACTAGACCATGACGGTTTTTCAAACACCGTCGCGGTCTAACACTACTAGTACCATCTAGTGCCCTGTAGTCTTGCACGGGACACGGAAAGTACGGAGGGACGTTTGAAATATGCTCCAGGCCAGTGGCGTTGTCGAGACACGCATGTCTCCAGACTTGGAAGCCATTCTGGGTCAGCTGGTGTGTGTTGGTCTAGAAGTAGAAGGAGACGTGTGTGTTGATCCAATGAGGAACAGGAGTAGGGGCAACGTGATGACATGTTCTACCAGGTATTAAGTAAGCTGGTAGTTGAAGCGAGGGCGACGGCGTACAAAACGTTGATCTGTTACGATGAGTTTTTTTTTAAATGATTTTTTTTTTAAGAAAAAGATTAGATTTTTCTTTATACAAAAATAACCCATCTGCGTTGGTGGATAGAAAGGGCATGTGCGCGAAGTCGACGGAAGCACATGGGTTTCTCTGACTCCTTTGATGCATATCGTATCTGAACATGATGGGGAGGGGGGGAGCTTGGACAGTTTGTGTGACGATGATACATGTCTATATGTGATAACCCCAACATTGTGAGAGCGCATCACTCAGGTGGTAATACATATATGATGGCACTGTTTCCTTCTAACCCCTCTTTTCTCCCCCATCTTCCTTTTTTTGATGTAGCGTTGTCATACCCGAGAGAAGGAGGCCTTTCTTTGATTACGGGTACTTGGGGTAGTAGTAGTAGTAGTAGTAGTAGTAAGTATGACTCCTTTACTCCGATAATGGAACAGCGACATGAACAAAAAGAGGGGATGGACAAGAGGAGGAGG